CTTGGTTAGCAGACTCCTAGGTGAACGTGTTGCTCTTGGATTTGGAATACCAACCTTCTCTGGGGGAGTCATCCTACCCTATCATGTCTGTACTGTTAGTGACGGTGACCCTTTCCCTGCTGGAGCGAACTGAAGGAGCTATTTGTACTCACAGCAGATACTGGGCTTGAATTCTATGGTGTGTGGCCTTTGCTTCACAAGTCCTCCAGACCCCTTGCATGCTCTCTACCTTGCCATTTGCAGCTGTGCTCCACAGGCATCCCCCTGAACTGACTGTCTTCCTCTTCTCCTAGTGATGGGGAGCTGGAATCCAGATACTCTTCCGGGTATTCCTCTGCAGAGGCAAGTCCAGAGCGCCTTTCTGCGCAAGGCCAGGCTGCAGGCAGCGTCACCGCCACTGCCAAATGCTTGTCTGGTGCCTGCTGTGTGCACGGCACTGTGCCAGACTTCCGGTCTGTTCTCCAATCTTCTACTCTGCCCTCTTCCCCCAACAGAGGTATAGGTGTCTGAGAAGGGCTGTTGAAAATCCAGGAGACCACAGAACCTTAGGGATGGAAATGACCTCACAAACCTTCTAGTCCAGGTCACTACTGAGAAAAGGAATCCTCTTGATATATCTCAGCTAAGTGTTTACTAGCTTCTGCTTGCTTGAATGCTTCTTATAATTAGGTACTCAACTACCTCCAAGAAGCCTTGCTGCTTGCCCTCCCGCAAATACACACACATGCACAATTCCTTCTTCAGGTAGCTCTTAGAGAAGTCTTGATTATCAATTTGAAATGTCTCCTGCAGCCTGGACTCAGTGGTCCTAAGCCTGCCCTCCAGTGTCACACAGTAATTGTAGTCTCCCTTCTTTTGATTGTCCTTTCTCTCAGGTCAGCATTCATGTCCCTCCCCCAGCCATCCTCCACCAAGCTTACTTTCTTCCAGGCCAACGACTTCTGTTCCTTCAGTTGTTCCATCTATGGGAACTCAGACTGAGATACTCCTGGGCTGGCCTTTTGGACATGTTTCCAGAGTGATTGTCCCAGACAGAAACAAAGGGACATAAAGTTCTCACATGTGCAGCTTACTGCCTTTGACAGAGGTGAAGTGCTGGGGACATGATTGTACACCACTGGTATTTCTTCCTTATTCTCCTGGAAACTCTTGGCCACCCCCTAAGTTTCTGCCAAAGAGAGTAGAGGCAGTTTGTTTTTTATTTTTTTTGAGGAAGATTAGCCCTGAGCTAACTACTGCCAATCCTCCTCTTTTTGCTGAGGAAGACTGGCCCTGAGCTAACATCCATGCTCGTCTTCCTCTACTTTATACGTGGGATGCCTACCACAGCATGGCTTTTTGCCAAGCGGTGCCATGTCTGCACCCAGGATCCGAACCGGCGAACCCTGGGCTGCCGAGAAGTGGAACATGCAAACTTAACCACTGCGCTACCGGGCTGGCCCCCAGGCAGTTTATAAACTGTATCTTCCTTGAATATCTGGGTGTCTAAGATTGTTAAAGCTAAGAGAAGAAAAATTAGCCAAGAGCCAGAGAAAGTACTACACTATTCCCAGTCTCATTTTCCTTCTGCTCAGTGGAACTGATGAAGCCAGGCTGACAGGGTCCACTTTGTAGGGAACGAGCTCTGCTGGCATCGAAGGATGGCACATCTAACTGGCAGTGCAGACAAAGCTTCTCCCCACCCCATTCCACTATAACCAGATTCCTCTACTCTTCTACCCCATTGTTCTTGTATCATTGCCCCATAGTCTTAAGCCTTCATAGGGAATGGTCAGGGCATTGACTTTCAAACATAATCTGGGATCTGATATTTACATCAGATGCCTCAGGATTCTTTAGTGAGAGCATCTCCCTTGGGAGTGCAGTCTGGACAGTACTGGCTCAGGCCCCTGATTGCCCCTCACTGCTGGACGAGGCACAGGTAGGAAAAGGTGTTACTTCCTCCTAGTTCCTCCAGGTTGGCCTAAGGAGGGAGCATAGACAGGAAGCTCCGGTAAGGGAATGTGGGTCTGCCTTTTGGGTAGCAGTTATTTTTGCTTTGCAGCCTGGCTTATAGTTCTCTCTTCTCCTGCTCTTAGCAGGTGAACCAGGATGTGAGCCGGCAGCTGCTCCAGGATGGGTATCACCTAGATGAGATTCCAGATGATGAGGACTTGGATCTCATTCCCCCCAAGCCTATGGCCTCCTCAACGTGCTCCTGCTGCTGGTGCTGTCTTGGGGACTCTTCCTCCTGTACCCTCCAGTAGACATAACCCTCTAAGATGGGCCCTGCTCTCCATGTCAGCAGAGCCCTGTTGGCCATTATTCATAGTTCACAGAGTGCAGTGGGAACTACTGTCAGCCCCAGAATCACTGGAGGCACTGACCCTCTGGGAAGGTCAGTGACCTGGTGCTTCTCAGGCCAGAGGCCCCCATCTGGGTCATGGGGTGATGGGTGGAATTCTGCAGTTTTCCTCTGCTGTTGGAGCAGACTTTGGAGAAACCACTTTAATAAGGGCAAGAACAGAGGTAATTGTGGATCTTATGGTGAGTGGCAAAGTTGGCTAAGAAAAGCACCTGCAGACTTCTTGACTGGTATTTGTTATCATACTCTAGGGAGGGGGAAAGAGAGCTTTTGTGCCCAGGCTATGCTGGATGGTGTTATATGGAGGCAGAAAATAGCACTTTATGACTTGCAGCTGGGAATCTTTGAAAGCTAATTTAACTATTTGGGACCAGTTCAAGAAATTCCATGTGTTCTCCTCTTCCTAGCTCCAACGTGGGTTACATGTTTGACCTTTGAGAGAGCATAAAGCAGGGCCCTTTGGCTCTCATCTGGTTGTGCCTGTCTGACTTTGGCAGGGAGTATAGCAGGTTGCTTGATGGTACACCAGGATCAAGGTTCCAGAATCACTGGACCCAGGGCATCCCCAACTGGTCCAACAGTCTGAGTGGGTTTAGTGACTCTGGTCAGGCCATCCCTAGTTAGAGAAAAACTGCTCCACTATGTACATATTTATTTGTCTTTCCTTGGTCACCATTCTTCGCCTTGGTCTTAGCTAGTTCTCCACCTGCTCTTTGAGCTAAAGGTTGGCTGAAGGGACTGGAGCTCACCCAGAAGCCTGCAGTTTTTGATTACCAGCAGAGGGAGCTGTAGGGAGCAGTCAGGTGCCTTCCTGTTTGTTTAGCTTTTTAAACTTGACTAGCAATGGGTGAAAGGTACACTGGCACAGTTACGTGGGCTTTGACATAGACGGAAGCCCAGAGACAGGATGGGGAAGAGAGACCTGTGCCGGGTCCCAAGGCCCCTGCCTGAGGAGATAATTTGCCTTTGCAGAAGGCCTTCCTGCATCCTAGTGTGGTCCATTCTATGCCATCCAGCCCTCCAGATTTCTCTGACCACTGCATGGGCCTCATGGTGTATACTCAGCATTGGGCTTTATAGTAAACCTCTGGGTGCAACACAGCCTCTCTCAGGCCCCAGTCTGAACACAACAGCAAAGACAGGCATGATCTCCCCTGTGATTACCACTAGATAACATCTATTGCTATATCAGGCCTCCTTCTAGAACTTAGTTTTGCAATGGTTCCTTTTTTTCTTGCCTCAGCCAGAATTGTGGTGAGGACTGAATGGGAGTGGACAGAGTTCCCAGCCTAAGGGGCATGGCAGTCAGGATTGGGGTGTAGGCTTAACATGGGAAAGTGCCAGTCTTTTGCTTCATTTGATGTCCTATGACTGCCAGGAATATATGAGGGATGGCACAGTCTCTTCCGCTACCACATGGGGTGATTGGAAGACTGAAAAACATCGATAAAAAGGCCTTATTTGTCATACGACTGTCCTCGTGAGGATAATCCTCTCACTGCTCAATTGGCATCTATCTTGGTGCTTTTCTCAAGTCATAGAAAGTTGTGAGGAGTATACGGTATCCAGGGGGCTGTGGCTAACTTTTATTCTACAATCTAGCAGCATCACAGCAGGAGCGAGAGGGAACAGAGACCAGAGGTACTTCAGGTTGGGGTCTGGGGAATAGGGGAGGCAGATAGTTATTCTGTTCTGGAATGGGATGAGAATGAGAGTTCTGCAGGGAGTGAGAACATCTCCATTCTGAAGCCCCTGGCCACCCACAGAGATTACATCCAGGCCTTTCTGGTCTCTGCAGATGTGGAAGAGTGCACATGAAGAAAGGGTTCAGAAGCAGGACAGTGTAAAAAGAAAAAAAAAGTGGTGGTAGTGGGAAACCCAGTGGGGGCCAGAAAGTGGCTCTGGAAGCTAACTGTGGGGCCACATTTCTGTGGGGGTTAGTTAAGGCAGAGTAGCTTGAACATTTGGCAGCTGCTGGGGGGGGAGGGTGGCAGCAGGACTCCAAGACCAAGGCCCTCTGGGTAGTTGTTGCTATAAATCAGCAGTGGTGTATTTGGCTGCAGCTGTCCCTGGAGAGGATGTTCAGAGCTGGTTGACCCCATGTGGGAGGTATTACCTTTGTGGAAAAAGTTGCAGGAACCTGGAACAGAGGACACTGTGCAGCAAGGCAGGGTAGAAATAGTTGTTTGGGGCCCCAGGCCACGGCCTAAAATGTCACCAATAAAAGGCACCAAAGTGCCCAGAGCCAAACTGCCTTAATTCAGAGTGCTGGGTGTTCTGCAAGTGACACCGCTGTGGGGAGAGAGGTGTGTATTTGGGCTTACCTCACAGGTGGGAGTGGCACTATATGGTATTTACAGAGTACAGAACTCTTGGCTTATGCTTCTACAGCTCTGTAAGTTTCTAAGAATAAATAGAATCATGATAGTAGAGCTGTCTCTGTGTTGCAATAGGATTTTTAAGAAAGGCCTAGACAAAAATCACTGTTCTTTCTGAATTCTGAAATGAAGAAATAGGCTAATAACCCCAACTGTGACCATTCCTCCTAGGACATTCTCTCCTTTCTGCTATTCCCAATGGGCCTCATTTTCAGGCCTGCTTCATTGGAGACCACAGATGGACTAGACCTTTGCACATCACTTCTCTTTAAAATGGGTTCCCTTTAGCAGACCCTTTCTTCCCAGGTCATTTTATTTTATTTTTTAGCTGAAGAAAATTTGGAAGCCAATAAAAACAGAACAGATTGATCAGAACTTTTTTGAAGGAATTACATTGTACAGGGGGTCTACTGTGGGCAGCAGCTCAGAAAGATCCTTTTGTGCCAGTCTAAACCCTTACCTCACAGGAAGGAGCCAATAGCCTAGGTCTCTGCTTAGTCTGGGGTGACAGGATCTAAGACTACCAGTCAGAAACTTCAGTGGCAAAGCAGACAGCTGTGCAGCCTCCTGTGGAGGTGTGTCCCACCTCAAGAGGGTAGGAAAAGGGAGACTAGATGCTCTCCTAGGTACTCCGCAGCCAGTTTAGAAAAAGTAGCTAGGTTTCTCTTCACAATGAGAATTGGATCGGTCTGTCCCCGGGTCCTTCCTTCTATCTAGAATGACTGAATGTGCTCTAGAGAAGTGCTTGACAAAACTTTCTCTATGAAGGGCCAGTCAATACTTTTGGCTTGGCAGGCCACATAGTCTGGCACATCTATCCAACTTTCCCATTATAGTCTGAAAGCAGCCGGACAGGATGTAAACAAATGGGTGTGGCCAGATCCAGCTTGCTGGCCTTAGCTTGCTGATCCGTGCCCTAGAGCCAACTGAAACACTAGAGAGAAGCAGCTTGCACTGACAATGCATAGTATCTTTAGACCCACCTTTCACTGTCTGCAGGGTTGGAGGGCCCAAGGCTTGTCTGAAAGCTCTCCATCTGAGGCTGAAGCCAGCTGCCTCTCCCACACCTTCCCATAAAAGGGCTCTGGAGTCCACCCTGCCCACTTGAGGAAGCTGTGTGAAGCAGGAATAAAGCAGAAGCTGGATAACATCCAGGGAGGCATCTTTCAGCCCACTTCAGAGACTAGAATGCCAAAGGCTGAGTGCTCTTTACCCCACAGCCTCTACACAAGTGATCTTTAATTGCTTTGACAGAACAAGAGGGTGATGAAGAACAATTTATCAGTCCACAGGCTTACCCTTTCTCCTCCTCTGCACCTAAGGAAATGGGCAGTCTCAGGGCCAGAACCCTGTTCTTAGAAATTAATTACCTACCCTCTTGCTGTGACTGATGCTGAGCTAATCATAGATTTCACCAGCCTGCCTAATGCTGTAGGCTGGAACAGAGCTGCTGCCTCCTGTGTTGAGGAGAGCCTGGCTCAGGTGTGGCAACAATACAAGGGGGAGTGTCAGCCCTTAGTCCTCACATGGGTCCCTCCTCCCAGGAAGAAGATGGATCAGCCTAGGTCTGCTCAGGAGTCATACCTTCAAGCTCACTCCTCTACCCCAGCTCTTCCAGGGTGTACCCAAAGAGTCCAGAGCAGGAAGGGGTTTGGCCTGGGTCGGAGGTGAGGCTGACTAGGATTTAGGGTGACTTGCAGAAGAGAGCCAGAAGGCTGTGGCTTCTACAGTAAACAGCAGGCACGGAATATCAGCAGGTCCTCAGGCACAGTGAGCTTCAATGAGACACTCTCATTGGCCCCAATGAAGAGCACCCCGCCACGCTGCAGGGGGATTGTTGACTGGGCTGTGGGAGTGCTGGCTGTCACTGTCCCCTGTACCATTAGGAGGATGCTGGCAGAATCCACCGCTAAGACCTTGTATTCAGTGATGGAGCCAGGGACCTGGGCAAAAAGAAACAATAGGATAGTGTAGCTCACAGGGCCCACAACAACCCCAAGCACAGTGAGAGGGAGTGCTCTGCCACCTCTCAGGCTCTTGTTGGCATGGATGCCCACATCTGGTCCCTGTTACAGAGAGGAGTGAGCAGGCCCTGTGGCCATCCCCCAGGAAGTGAGCTGGACAGAAAGGAAACCCAGCCCTAGGTATACTCCAAATTGTAGCCTTTGCCAGGGTTTTTCATGCCACACAACACCTACCATGGCCCCCCACTCACCTCCATCTTCATAACAGTGAAGTCTGGCACTGGGGGATCATAAATAGAGAGGTAGGGGTCTTCCTGACTCCGTGTTGGAAGAAAGAGCCTGTCCTTGCTGGGGCTGGATGTATAGCTGAGCATCTCACACAGGGTTGGAACATCGATGAACTTAGGTGTCAGGCCAGCACGCACTGTGTTGTCTGAACATGCCATGCACTCCACGCAGTCTGGGGACAGACAGTTATGTGCTAAGCTGATGAAGGATACCTTGGAATCTGACTCTTCAGGGCTGGGCCTCCTAACCTGAGTGCCATGAACCCCCTGCAGAAGTAGGTAAAAATGTGTGAATTGCAGTCTCTGGGAGAGCCAGCCAAAGACATCAGATACTGAAAACAGGTGACACATCACCCACTATTGTCAGGGGAGTCATGTTAACCCCTGGAGGAGCCCCAGCCCTCCCCAGATTCTGTATTCTCCACTTCTACCACAGAATCCTGTCCCTAAGTGGATAAACAGCCAACAGTCAAAATGTGACACCCTTCTGTGGTAACGTGTATTTTAATGTAAAAATCTCTGGGTAGATAGGACAGACATGCAAAGGCAGTGTGATGCTGGGGAGAACAGCAGCCTTGATCCAGTATAGCCTGGGTTCAAATTGTAGTTCTGACAGGACTTATCATGAGAGTATCACGAGGGGAGTTAGTGTGAAGATTCAAGCAGTGTACAACACCAAGCTGGCATTCATCATCCCCACTAGCTGCTTTCCTGCTGACCCCAGGAACCCTGGGGGGTCAGAGCTGGATGGGAGCTTAAAGAAGGTCTGCTTGACTACCCTCTCCACCTTTGTCCCAATGGGGAAACAAGGCACAAGGGGATGGCAGTGGGCTCACTGCTGCAGTGTGGCTCACCTCCTTTCAGGTAGGCATGGGGAACGTTGGCCTCCAGAAACATGGCCTCCCCTGGCTTCAGGGTAAGCAGGTTCAGGAAATAGATGGCAAAGCATCCAATATCACCTGGATACTGCTGGTGCAGCTGCAGCAGGAGGTCCCCGCAGATGTCCTCCATATTGTTTCCAGCAGCCACTGAGGGTCACAGAACACCCCAAGGCCACTTAGGAACACACAGTGGTGTTCACAGCCCCACCTTGCCCAGGGAGCTCTTAGGAAGTCCCTGCCCACATGAATCTGGAAACTGGTGAGCATGTCCTAGCCACACCTCTAGTCCTTTGGGTGCCAGGCTTCCTGATACTCCAGCCCAGAGAGGTGCCATTTTTCCCATTTTGACTGTCTATCTGCCCAGCACTATACTAGGCACTAAAAGGGCTAAAGTGTGGTCCTTTTAGCACAGTCTTTCTCAATCTCAGCACTACTGACATTTTAGGCCAGATAATTCTTTGTTGTGGGGACTGTCCTGTGCACTGGATGCTTAGCAACATCCCTAGACTTTGCCCATGAGATACCATTAGCACCCCTAAGCAAGGTTTTGACAACCAAAAATGTCTCCAGACAATTGCCAATGTCCCCTGGTTGAGAACCACTATTCTAGGAACTCAAAATCTAGTTAGGGAGATATCTGAGAGTTCCACGTAGGGTGACCAACTGTCCCAGATAGCCCAGGCCTTTCTCTTTTTTAGCACTGAAAGCCTACGTCTCAAAAAATCTCTCAGTCCCAGGCAAACTGAGGTGGTTGGTCACCCCAGGTAGCATGAGGCAGAATGCTCCAATGGCCAAAATGTGTCCTGGAGACTGACCAGAGGAGGATGAGCTCAGCTTGGGCCAGAGTGGTGAAGGAAGGCTTATGGGAAGTCGGAGGGGAGGTGAGTGCGCTGAGTCTTCTGCAGTGTGCAGAGAAGGGGGGAGGGTGTTTGTAAGTAGAAACATAGTATATCAGTGCCACAGTGAAGACACTAGCTGGTCTGGATTGGAGGGTGGTTTTGAATCTTCATACAGCAACTGCTGAATACCTACTCTGTGCTAAGCACTGCGAGGACACGAAGGTCAAGGAGACAGGTCCCTGGCCTGGAGATAACCCCAGTTTTAACAAGTGTGCACCTGATGATATAGACTCACAGGTGCTAAGGGCTATACCTGACATACAAACAGGGTGTTATGGGAGCTCCGGGCAGGAGTAATCGGTTCTGCTATGAGTGCAAGAAGCCCTAAAGGGAGAGACACGCAAGCAAAGAAAACATACAGTATGCTTGGGTAAAGTAAATAGTTCCTTGTGGCTCAAAGGTAGCAGGGGAAATGCCTAGAGAAAGAACCAGAAGAGCTCTGGAGTTGCCTGGAGAAAGGGCTGGGGCCCCATGTGCCACATAAGGTCATACCTGGGAGTCCACTGCCTTGTGTTTTACGCTGCTTCTATTGACTCCCTAACCCAAAGGTGACAGGACCACACCCATCACAGTCATTTCCTGAACTTTCCTTAGTTAGCACAAGGTTGGGCACAGAGCAAGTATTTAAGGAAAGATCTCATAATTGAGAATTCTGGGCATCAGCCCTTTGGAGGAGAGGGGAATCTCTTTGTCCCCTTCCTGCTCTCTAGCCCCAAAGTACAAATCCATCCATGGGGAGCAGCTGTAGGGCTGGAGAAGTCTCAGAATGCCTGTGTGGAAGATATCCTAAGAGACTTCTAGGCCAGTCTGCTTCCAGCCATCTAGAGAAGATGACAAGTTAGGAAGCAGCACTCAACCTAGGGCCCTGCTCCACAAAGACTGGGAAAGAAATGCTAAGTTGCTAACAGGCCATCTAAGTCAGGCCCATTTTAATGTTCCACTTGAGCAAAGGGGTTGAGAACCCTGTCCCCACAGCCTAGTGTCTGTGCTGGGGGCCCAGGAGGGAGCACTGCACCCAGGCTTATGACAATACTCACCTTGCTGGGAGATCCGCTTCACCAACAGGTTGAGCTGCTCCACTACCACCTTCTTCTCACTCTTCATCAGGTGAGAGAAACAGCTCTGCAGAGCAGACGCCGTGGCCTGGGAGTCACGGCTCATGCTCTGCTTCAGCTGTGTTGCTGCATTATCTCCAATCAGAAACTGGAACTCAGGCACTTCTGCAGAAAGGCCAGGCCAGGGCCACATCAGGAATGGCAAGATGGAACCCACAGAAGTGGGGAGTTGGAGGAATCTTCCTCGTCCCATCCCTAACCATGGAGCCAGGCAATGCTAAGCAAACTTTGTAGTGAAAACTGACCACTCCCCACTTCGGCAACCATACCTGAGCCTGGTCTCACAGGCCTACCCAGTGGCTCCAAGAATTCGTAAGGCCAACCAGCCCCTCAGTTCCTGTGGCATTCAGCCTCTGTTCTCTGCCACTGTTCAGCTCTGGCCTGGGTCCCCCATGCATTCTAGGCCCAGTGTGCATGCTCTCAGCATTTTGCCCAACCTTACTTGTTAGAAAGGTCACAATCTCCTCAACTGGCCGGAAGCCACATAAGCCTTGGAAGGAGGTAAGGGCAATGGCCATCTCTGGCTTATGGTTGGCATCGGGGTAGTGCTGTGGAGCCTGGAGGTGCAGCTTTTCAGCCAGTTCCTGTGGGGTGGCCAGGGAAAGAGGAGGATGGTCAAGGTGCAGCCCTCACCTAGCTGGAAAGTCCCACCCCGCCCTTGCTTTCTACCCTCCCCAGTCACCAGACAGCAGTGGCCTCTTACCTCTGGCAACGAACCCAGGCAAAGCATAATGCGGAAACTTGAGGTTCAGCCAACCCAGGGCAGGGACATGGGCCAAATCTGGGGGAAAGCTGGGCAGACTTTAAAAGACCGGGACTGTGAATGAAGGAACCCTAACACCAGGCCAAGCTCTGACCCTAACAAGCTGTGTGGCTTTGGGTAAACCCCATTCTTCTCTGGGTCTTCGTTTGTTCATCTAGAAATGAAGAGTTTTGACAGACAAATGCTTAGGCTGTGACTCAGAGACTTGTGCGCAAAGACTACGGGGGTAGAGTTGAGGCAACAGCTAGGGTACATGCCCTGCCCTGCCCTGGAAAGTGAACTCTCCTACAGAGCCAGGTGGGAAAATGGCAGACATAAATGGTCTTGGGCTGGGTAAGGGGAACCCAGGAACAAGATCCCAGGAATGAGCCTGGAGAAGCTTCCCTGGCACAGGCTGTTCACCTGTCTACTTAGACTTAGTTGCCAGCATGTGTCACCAGCATCTGGCCTTGCAGAGCTAAAGTGGGAGTTGTCAGGCCTGGATTTAGCTTTGGGCTGGAGCCTGGCATGGGTAGGGTAAATGTAGCAGCAAAAATCGTGGGAGGGCCTTGACAGAAGCTCTTCTCTACCCTGACCTCTGTGCCCCAGTCTGATTCTGTACCTTGTTAGGGTGTGCCTGGATGGACAGAGCTGTTTCAACTGAGAGCACTTTGAAGAGGAAGGGCAGCTTGCCATTAAAGATGTCCTTGACCTTTGAACCCAAGCTGTCCTGGTTCTCAGCAATCCACTGGCCTAGGGTCTTCTGTGAGATGCGGTTGTCAAGGATCTTGGCATCTCCCCGGGGATGGGTCCCCATCCACATCTGGAAAAACAGGAAACTTGGGCGGAAAGGGGGAAAACCTAGCAGTACCAGTTGGCCTGCCCCAAACCTACTCACTCCATGCTCCTCACGGGGCAGCTGAGTCCTGAGATGGGTCTCCCAGGACTGGGTATAAATGCTCATGCCATCACCCACATATAGGGAGGCAGCAGACCACAGAACACCAAGAGTCAGGACACCCAGGCTCTACCTCTAAACTTGGGCTAGTTATTTCCTGTCTCTGGGTCTCAGTTTCTTTATCTGTCCAATGAGGAGAATGACACCTGCACTGTCAAGGTCACTGAAAAGTTCTGACTCTCAAATGGCTCTGTGAAGGGTTAATAGTCATTTATTCCAGTCTCAGAAGTAGAAGCTAAAGTCTTCCTATGCTTTGGGTTTTTTCTCTACTAAAGGGCAGGAGAAATATGTATTTTAGGTTATTAAAAATGTAAAAGTTGGGGCCGGCCTGGTGGCGCAGCGGTTAAGTGCGCATGTTCCGCTTCAGCAGCCCGGGGTTAACCGGGTCGGGTCGGATCCCGGGTGTGGACATGGCACCGTGTGGCAGACCAAGCTGTGGTAGGCGTCCCACATATAAGTTAGAGGAGGATGGGCACGGATGTTAGCTTGGGGCCAGTCTTCCTCAGAAAAAAGAGGAGGACTGGCAACAGTTACCTCAGGGCTAATCTTCCTCAAAAAAAAAAAAAAGTCAAAGTCAAAGTAAAAATTTTAATTGTCAAAGAGGGCTGAATTAAAATTCACTAAGTGCTGACAGTTCATGGGGGAAGAATGATACTGGAAATCCCAGCCCACTATGACAAAACCTCTCTTCTTTTGATGCCACCATCTGGGTTCATCAACATGCACTGATAAGAAGAGCCAAGAGGGTCTCTTCTTTGCTGCCTCCCCTCTTCCAGCTGATCCACATGACTTGCCTCAGGCTCTCCGAGTGGAGACGTCCCTTGGTCTCAGCTGCTGGTAAAGTGGGGTGAAATACAGCCCAGGTCTCACCTCTGCATATGGCTTGTCCTCTGAGATCCGGGCCAGTGGGTCACTGCTGGCCAGCAGCCGAGCCACTTCACTGTTGGAACCCATCTTCCCCCAGGCATACTGCTGCACCACACAGGAAAGTGGGAAAACTGGGGGCACAGACAGAGGGTCAGCTTCCACTCCACTCCTGACACCTGACCCTACTGTCCAGGGAAACTAGACACAGCTGAGGGTTTTGGCTGGCGGACAAAATCAAGTAAGGAGTTTGTAGGTAGTTGAGACTCTTCTCTGCAGGTCTTGATGTTCCCATCTGTAAAACGGGCAGTAGTCATCTTCTGCTGACGTGAGGCAGATAGTTGCACTGAGGTGAAGGGGAGCGAACAGGAAGTATCTATTCCATGCCTCCCCCTCCCCTGAAGAACCTCCTTCGCCGGCTGCAATAACGGCTCAATCCCTGTCGCAAGTGCTCCTTTCTCTACCCAGCGCTCATCCATCTTTCCTCGGAGCCCCAAGGGTGTGTTCGACCTGGCTTATCAAGTCTGGAAAGATCCCAGGACGCGTCTCACCCACACGCTGGCCAGCACCCCAGCCAACAACTCACCTTGCTGAGCGGTCATCCTTGCGGCCCCGAACCTGCCTTCTCGCACGTATGCCCTTCCCGGCAGCACCCGCGGCCCCTCTACGCCCAGAGCTTCATGGGAAATGTAGTTCCTCGAGCGCCTCCTCAAAGGCCGGGCCGCTCCCCACATTCGGAGTCCCTCTTCCACCCTCCAGGAGTTCAGGAGTTCAGGAGGAACCCTGCTGAACCCAGAGGCTTCCAACCCTCAATCCTGGGTCAGTATACATTCATTCATTCCTTCAACGGGACACATTTTATTGAGAACGTGGTAAATGCCACAGTCTGTTCTAAGGGCTGGAGATAACATCAGAGAACAAGATAACAATCCCTTTGCCTTTTGGAGCTTACATTCTGGGGAAGGAAGACTGGCAAATAAGTATAATAAATAAGTAAATCATATAGCATGGTGAAAGATAAGTGCTACTGTAAGTAAGGGGGATGGGTAGGAGTAGGAGGCAGTTTGCAGAATTTAAAAGGTTGTCTAGGTATGCCTTATTGAGAAGGTGAAATTTGAGCACAGACTTGGAGGTGAGGAGGAGAGAATGTTCTGGGCAGAAGAAACAGCTAGAGCAAAGACCCTAAGGTGGGAACGTGGGAATGTGTCTGTCATATTCAGGAGGAAGTAGCAAAGAAGCCAATGTGGCTGGACCAGAGTGAGCAGAACAAGGAGGAAGTGAAGTGATCAGAAAAGAAAGGCAGTGGGCAGAACTTTATAGGCTATTGTGAGGACTTCCGGTTTTCCTCTGAGTATCTCAGTCATTAGCGGATTTGAGCAAAGAATTGCCATGATCTAAGCAGGGACTCACTGATGCTTGACGATGATGACAAATATCACATGCAAGGCCCTTAATCTGTCTGAGCTTCAGATTCTTCCTCTGTAAAATGAGGATAATAATGCCACGTGACAGGCTTGCTGGAGGGTCGGATGGGATGATGTGGGATTCAGGAAGGCAGTCAGTGCTCAATGCTCCTCTGATCCTCCCTGCCTAGGTACAGCAGGACTCAAAACCCCCCTGGGGCCAGCCCCGTGGCCGAGTGGTTAAGCTCATGCGCACTGCTTCAGTGGCCCAGGGCTTCACCGGTTCGCATCCTGGACACAGACATGGCACTGCTCATCAGGCGGCATCCCACATAGCACAGCCAGAGGCACTCACAACTAGAATATACAACTATGTACTCGGGGGCTTTGGGGAGATGAAGAAGAAAAAAAAGAAGATTGGCAACAGATGTTAGCTCAGGTGCCAATCTTAAAAAAAAAAAAAAACGAAGGTTTTATTAAAAAAAAACCCTAGCCCCTCCTCCAGGCTGAGCTGCTCACAAGTCACACACACATTAATCAGGAGAGTCACCAGAAGCCCTGCATGGCAAAGGCTGGGCTGGGCCTTGGCTGTGGAGTAACTTTGCTGTATCCTGTAGAGAAAGGCTCTGACATTTGGACTTCTTTATTATTATTATCTTTTATTTATCATTTTATTATTTTTTTTATTTTTACTGAGGAAAATTAGCCCTGAGCCAACATCTGCCACCAATCCTCCTCCTTTTTGCTGAGAAAGACTGGCTCTGAGGTAAAATCTGTGCCCATCTTCCTCCACTTTATATGTGGGACGCCTGCCACAGCATGGCTTGACAAGCGGTGCATAGGTCCGCATCTGGGATCCAAACTGGTGAACCCCAGGCCCCCAAAGTGGAACATGTGAACTTAATCACTGTGCCACCGGGCTGGCACCCAGACTTCTTCAGTCAACAGCATAGGAGGAGAGTAGCCAGCTGGAGGGGTCCAGGAGCACAGCAACCAAAGATCCAGGGAGCCTGGAGTGAAGGGCTACAGTCCTGACTGTGCCTTCCCTCCCACCCCCACACACACCCTGATTCCCACAGCCTCTACCACACATGCCCAGGGAGAGAGAGGTACTGTTTTCTCTGTAGTGTTCTACCCAGCTGTGGAGGGTGACGTTCTCTGGGGTCCCCTGGCTCAGATAAATCAGCCTGCTTTTCAAAGGAAGCTTCACTATACACTAAAGAATAGTAAAGTGGAAAACATAAGAATCAGACTAACAGCACCTGTCACATACCTTCTACCTCTGAATCCTCTCTTTCCCTTCATCCCCACCCCTCTAGCCATGTGAACCTCCTGGGAGAACAATGAGGGATTACTTTAAGCACAGGAGACTCTTGGAGTACCTCCCACTACCACCACCACTGAAGCCAGAGTTAGAGTCATTTCCTCATAATATCTCTGCACACGGAAGGAAGAACTTAGGTGGTTGTGTTGACCTAAAATACATAAAACAGCCATTTATTTTACCAGCAAAATGAGTTTATCTGGGAATAGCCAAGAATTGCAGTTTGAAACATGCAATCTATGATGAACCACATGCAAATCTGGAGAACGAAGGAGAGCTATGTTGTTTTATAGGGGAGAAGGGGGAGTTGGGAGGCGCTGTTATAAATGAAGAGTCTATTGGAGGAGACTGGGAGTTTGCAGTATAGCGGCTTTTCATTGGCTGAGTTGTGACAGTCACTCGTTCGCTGAGCTGTTGCTGAGCAAGGAGAAATCTCCTTTCTCCTTCTGAGGTAGTAAAGTAGGATCACTTCCTACTGGAGATGCAAGGTAGGTCTCTTCCTGTTGAGGTCTGTGTTGACCTTGAGTGGTAGGTGTGTGAGAGGTCCCCTTTCTGGCCTCTCAACTCCATTTTTTTCCGAGGAAGATTAGCCCTGGGCTAACTACTGCCCATCCTGCTCTTTTTGCTGAGGAAGACTGGCCCTGAGCTAACATCCATGCCCATCTTCCTCTCCTTTATATGTGGGACGCCTACCACAGCATGGCTTTTGCCAAGTGGTGCCATGTCTGCACCCAGGATCTGAACCGGCTAACCCCGGGCCACCGAGAAGCATAACGTGCGAACTTAACCACTGTGCCACCAGGCCGGCCCCTCAACTCCATTTTAAATGAGGTTTCTGTTCATTAATTTTCACAGTTGGGATAGGCAGAGCCCACAACCCACACCACCCTCCCTGCACATAGAAAAATATATCTGTAAGGGAAACTAGGGTGTTTGGAAAATCTAGAATTTTTTATCCTTAACTCTTGTCTATGTCTAGTAGAACTGATCACACTTTATTATCTAGTGATGATTTGCTTTCCTCTCTCTCTTCCCTACTAGATGTCTAATTCAGCTTCACATTTTTGCCAGTGCCCACCTGAGGGCTCAAGCTATAATAGCAGCTAAAATTTACTGTCTGTTATGCATTAGATACTATGCTAAGCCCTTTTCAAGAATTCTCTCACTTCATTCTCAAGACAACCCTATGACGTAGGCACTGTCATTAGCCCCATTTTAGAGATGGGAAAAATATACCTTGGAGAGGGGAAGGAACTGGTCCAAGGGCATAGGCGTCCAATCTGCTATACCTTCTCCCTTGGTGAATAAGTGAATGAGTGAATAAATGCATTATGTCTCTTTCATAGGAAAATAGACAGATCCCAGGGGTCTTCAGAGACAGATGGGTGGGCAGGCTGCACATTGGTGATATCAAGTTCCATTCTGTTTTCACTAGTCAAGCACTGTACTAGGCTGGAGTGGACAAGGAGGAAGCAGGACAGCCTCATGTCATGTGTACTGTTCTCTCGGGTTGCAGACAGCAAAGATCTCTGTATGCTGCCTACGATATTGGGATATAATAACCAGCTCCTCGCCAGAGTTCCTAAAACCTTAGTAATTTCCTAAGCAATAAAGATGCTAGGAGCATCTTTGTTTGAATGAGGCAACTCTTCCTTTTTTTTTTTTTTTAAAGATTTTACTTTTCCTTTTTCTCCCAAAGCTCCCCGGTACATAGTTGTGTATTTTCAGTTGTGGGTCCCTCTAGTTGTGGCATGTGGGATCCCAAGCACGTGGGATGCTTGATGAGCGGTGCCATGTCTGCGCCCAGGATTCGAACTGGCGAAACCCTGGGCCGCCAAAGCAGAGCACGTGAACTTAATCACTCAGCCATGGGGCCGGCCCCATAATGAGGCAACTCTTAATGGGCTCCTAGATAGTGTGGGGACCTGGAAATGGCCACCCCAAGATATGTCTCTTTGGCATCAGAATTATTTGAGGCTGATTGCTTTTGACAAACTGGGACAGGGAAGGAGGCTCTGAGGAATGGAACTTGCCCTTTGTTAGGACACATTTACATTTGTAAGGTAAATCTCTATCTGTAAAAGGTGCCTCCCTCTCTGTACCAGGAAGAAGAAAGGAGATGACCTTCTCTCTAGAAACTCTTCATCAATGCCAAAGGCAAGGACTTAAATCTGCATTTGTTTATTGTGCTTGTCTGGTAACCTCCTGTAACTGACTTCCCTCCCCCTCCCAACTTTGGCATTTCTTTAAGGATTAAGCATCTTTCCTTAGGCTAGGAACTGATTGCTGCGTTCACCTGTGACCTCCCAGCTCCAGACAATAGACTTGCCTCCTGCTACACCCACCAAGATAGCAGACCCACTACCTGCTGTGTCCATCAAGAGCTGTGCCAACAGGGCAATCTTGTGAGTATTGTGGGAGGGACATTTCAATCATATGTGAAATATCCTGTTTGGGGGTATATAACCACTCTGTGTACCCCACTTCTTCAGTGCCCTTTCTTCCTTTGGGAAGAAAGGCCCCGGGCCATGGTTCCTCATAAAACTTTGTTTAATTTTCTCTTGCTATTCTGTCTCATGTGAATTTAATTCATTCTCCGGCCAGACGAACCCACATTTGGGAAGAGGAAATGTCTTCCTCCCCTACAATAGCTTCAGGAAGGGCTTGGTCACCAGAAGGGCCAAGTTATGATTAGAAGGTTGGAACTTTCAGCCCCTCTCCCCATCCTCCTGGGAGGGGAGAGGGGCTGAAGATTGAGTTAATCAATCATGCCTATGTGATGAAGGCTTCATAAAAACCCTGAACTACAGGGTTTGGAGAGCTTCTAGATTGGTGAACACATCCACGTGTCGGAAGGGTGGTGCACCCCAACTCCACGGGGACAGAAGCTTCTGTGTTCAGGACCCGGACCTTACCCTGTGTATCTGTTCATTTG